AACCCCTAAACCCCTAAACCCTAAACCCTAAACCCCTAAACCCTAAACCCCAAACCCTAAACCCGAATTGTGATTCTGGGGTTCCGGATATTATTTGGGTCGTGCTTGTCGGGGTTTGAGTCGCAAGTCCTGGGAGGGCTTCTGTTCAGAGCCGTCCGGTTCGGCTGACAGGGTTTAGGGTTTAGGGGTTTAGGGGTTTAGGGGTTTAGGGGTTTAGGGGTTTAGGGGTTTAGGGTTGAGGGCTTAGGGTTTAGGGGTTTAAGGGTTTAGGGTTTAGGAGTTTAGGGTTTAGGGTTTAGGGGTTTAGGGTTGACAGTGTTGCGTTTGCGGTTCTTCGGCCTTTGAATGGGGGGTTTGGGATGTTTGAGTCACGTGCCCCAAGAAGAGCTTAGGATTGATACAGGCTTCGGCCTAGCGCCCTAAACCCTGGCCCCCTACTCCCTGAAACCTGAACCCTAAGCCCTATACCCTAAACCCTACGCCCTCTCCTCTGTCTGTTCAGACCCTCGAGAGTCACGTCCTTTCTCGCGATACCTTCGCTGTATACTTAGAAGGGCGCTCCCATGGCCGCTGTTCCTTACACCGCAGCCCATAACCCTGTTCTCGTTTCATCGGCATGCATAGAATTTCTGTGGCCCTTGTTCGCAGTCTGCTTATCAGCTAACCTCTGGTCATAATGCAGTGATCTGAAGAAGCAGAAAAGTTGCCTTCAAGTTCTTATGCAATTATGCAACTCTAGGATAGATTGCCCAAGCCCTATTCTCAGTATTCAAACCCGCATAGCTGTCTGCCGCTAAACCTTGGGGTGTTTTAGAGACGTTGCAAGGCCAGGTCGCCGGACGCCATACTGAGACATAGCTCCTTCCCTACAGTATTACAAGCACTACTCAGAGATCTGGCGGCCTGGGAGCCCTGTTTTTCTGAAACTCCCATGTTTTCCTGCGCAAGTCTTGTCAAAGTAAAATTGCTCCAGAAGCTTGCATGGGAAGCCTCAGTCCAGCTTTGCCGCCTCTGTTCCAGAAACTTCGTCTAGTGTTTGTAGGGTTTAGGAGTTTAGGGGTGAGGTTTAGCGATGAGACTAGTTAGCGGAATTGCACAACCTCTGTACAGCAGCGCAACATGCGGCTAGAATTACGCGAAAAGCATCCAAGCCTGAGAAAGTCTTACATAAACCCCAAGCGCCAAGCCCTAAATCCTAGCGCTTAGGCCAAAACCCTATAACCGAAGCAGCGTTCGCATCACGCGCACGAGACCCGAAACTGTAAACCTTGAGGGTTTTAGGGTTGGTTTGGGTTCAGGGTTTAGGGGTTTAGGGGTTTAGGGTTTAGGGTTACTCGAATCGGTGCTTTTGATTCGTCGGGGACTTTTCCGCAGCAGGTATCTACTCTGGAGCAATTAATATCGCCAAATCGTTCAGGGGTCAATGGTACGAATCTCCATGTATGAAAGAAGGTGCAGTGGATGGTAGTACTTCGCTGATGATCGCTTCAGAACCCGGCACTTGTCTTAACAGGGCCCGACTAGCCGACTTGCTCGAAAATCCCTCGAAGCGGTCAGAGGTTGCTTTCCCCTCTGATTGATTTCTCCTGCTAAACCCTAAACCCTAAACCCTAAACCCTAAACCCTAAACCCCCTCTTAAGTGGCCACCCACACTGTCTGGCTTCGGGGGGCTCCCAAGCTTAGGCCGGGTGTGCTGAGAGCGAGGTTCCGCAGGGAAAGAGGGAACCTCTGACGGCCTGACTGCTGAGACGGTTTAGGGTTTAGGGTT